CATTACAATGCACGTGACTCAAACTCAACTTATAATAGCAGTTTATTCGGTAATTTTTCGTAAAATATTTTTCTTTTCCAACTATATATTTATGCTTTAAATAAATAATCTAAGAGTAAAGTAAGCTGATAAATAATCTACAAAACTAGACCTTATGGAAAAAAGGCTATTTAGTTTATGTTTAATCGTAAATTAATTTGAGATACCTTACTGTGCGATTTAAAACTGGCCAGAGCCTATGTATATAGATAACCAGACTCTTGAAAAACTTGTATATTATTGACCCGGAACAAATGACCGCTCTTATCAATGCAATAACTTCTTTTGTACTGGCTACTAATAATTTTATTAAATTAGTTGAAACATCGAATTGTAATGACATTTTACCAGAACGTAACCAACCCTGTTAAGACATCTATAAACAGCTATACAAACAAATAATGACTAGAGTTAGAACCTATAGATAAGTTGCTACACAACTGAATATATTCAGTTGATCATAAAACATAATTTACACTTTATACAAATAAAATTGTACTTTATTTTAAACAGATTTAAGGTCTAAATTAGATAGTTATACATATAATTCCTTATAAGGAATAATTTAGGCTTTATAGCTGAGGTTAAGGTGGGACTTTGATAAGACCTACGGCTGCTGAACTGAAGGATATTGGTTATAAACATAAATACAGGGATCTAAGAACAATAATAAAATATAAGCAATAAGGTTTAATAACAAAAACGAAAAGTTAAAAGTATACTGCAGACTGCCGTTACTATGAGCTTTAGTTTACTTTTATAATATTATTATTACTTAAAATCTCGCGATGCTTATTTTTGGACCGTCTATCGTTTCACAGACAGCGTAGGAGGGACATCTTATAATTTAGTTTTACGTCATTATTAGGAGCAGTAATAGAGGTCAGTGCCAAAGCCCCACTCTCAACAACTTTACCAGTTAAATACCCTAGTTTGACACGGTCTTATTGCACTCTTGGTACAACACAACGCAGTGTAGCCCAATATGCAGTGGTTATACTCCAACAACGAATCATCACACAAAAACCACGAGAGTAAAACAGTGATTGCCTGTATAAAAAATCACTTGACCATGAGCTTAGAGAACTGTTCATCCTGCTTTTAACACCACAGTTTCGTAGCGAGTGTTGCCAGCTTAAAAAATGTTTTTATAAAAGAACTACATGACAATTTTGTGTATACATTCTTAATTTAATTTATAGTGACATTTACTACCGTCTATGATCTATTGTGGTGACAAACCTACCTTAACTACAATGACTATCCCTCAAGCTACGACAAAATGGGGAAGAGCAATTATGTTACAAATATAGAGGTTGCTAGGTTACACGCGCTCTGGAAGTACAACACTAAGACTGGGACAATTGGTCTAGTTTCGATAGTGTGATTGATTTTGTTTTTTTCGAAGTGGAACTTCTTTAAAATCGTTGTGATTTGAAACTCGATGAAACGAAAATGCGTCACGATAAAGAAACACACACATAAATGTTAAGTGTTAAGTCGGCGAGAGAATGAGATATTTGAAAAATGCTGCCTTAGTGGGATCGATTCCCGGACCGGGAAAATTTTTATAGGCTTTTTCTGAGATAAAAAAAATCGGTTGTCTGTAAAGTTGGTTTACTGACGATAGTTGAACGTGACAACGTCATAAGAAAATACTGATGGAATGGTTGCATTTTTCAAAAATGTATTATTGTATACGAGTAGTAGCTGTCCACGCGGACGCATCGCTCACTCAAGTTCCTACTTGAGAGAGACAGATGTCGAACGCTGCCGAACGCGGAGGCCGATTGTGCCTCTTTGTCACTCGTTCCGCGCTCTCGCTTGCACTTCACGCCTTAAATGGAACGCCTCAGAGCGAGGTAACGCCGCATGAGTCATGTTTTTTCGTGCGTGCAGCCGGCTCTATCGAATTATAAGACGTTGTCACGTCAAAAACCAAAAGAAATCGGAAGTTTCACTTCTGCCGTGTGTGAATTGCATACAAATACTTTTTTTATTTTAAAAGGTCAAACAAAAAGACGGGTCATCTGATGGTAAAAGACCACCGCCGCCCATGGAAACCTGAAACTCAGGAGACACAAGGTAATTCCTTCCACAGAGGTTGGTTTGAGTAACCTCACGTTGAATTGCAATGAAAGAATCGCTCAACATCGGTTTTATGTGAGGTTGTGGTATCACACCTGTCAAACCAGCCCATTTATACCATTCAAAGCATGTGTGTAAGTAATATTATCAACTGTACTATTGTACTGATGAGTAAAAGTACTCATTTAACTAAACTATTACTAGACTAACATTTAAATAGTAATTTTAATTAATTTTGCAGATGATTCGCAGGTGGAGGTTCACACAAACAAACACACAATCATACACAACAACGACTACTCTATAATTTGTGCGTATCAATCTAACATTACACATTTCACACGTCCACATAGGTTAGGTACTTTAATAATACATACACCGATTACATTATTTACTAACTTTATGTAAATATATAATTTATATATTTATTGCTGACTCTGTTTCACAGAACGAAGAGCTCGATAGATCTCACTTATATTACTTAATTGTACTGAAAAAGTCAAATTATTATACACCCAAAAAATTGTCAATATAAATTACTTTGGTTGGTAAAATATACCCGAATATGGCAATTGTATACATTTGGAATTTCGTTTCACATACAAGGTCCCCTATGGTTCACATAATATATCTGACTCGTGGGGCCAATCTGAGAGCCAACTAGATTTGGTTATCCTTTTATTTCATTTTATAATTATTATTATTTTGTCCATAGTAAAGGTCTCTAGATGCAGTGCATATCTAATTCTGGACAGAACACATATTTCGGTCTGTATAGTTGAATGTCCTTAAAAAAAGGAATGTCCTTATCCACATATTTATTCTATTTGCCATTATTTGCCTATTATATTTATATATTTATAATGGCCATTATTCGACAATTATTTCTTTAGGTCTGGCCATTACTTGTCAATTATTTTTAGCTCCAGCAAAAATTTGCCTTTTAATTTTAACTTTGGCTGTTATTTGCCCATTTAACCTGCCCGATATTTTACCTTTATATTTAGCAATAACTGTCATTGGCCTACACGTTGGCATGAAGTTTCAAATGTCTTTACAATGTCAAGTCAAGTGCTACCCTGGTCGGCTCACAAATTTACCCCTTCTACATAACTACGTTATATAAGCTAACATTCAAACTCCTAAATCAATATTTATATTTAACACATTTTGTATACTGGTTTAAACAAACAAGTATTGTAAAACAATTTCTACATTTACTTATTGCTTTCATTCCGTTTCCGTTACTCGGAAGACATATAGTCTACACTATTAGGTACTCCTGCCCACATTTAGTGTATATTTACTGGTCTATATAAACTATACTACATACATTTATACTTTCAAAGATGGCATCTACGCAATGGCACATTAAATAACGATAAATGAAAATTTTAAGTACATTAAATTTCTTGTTTAATTATGTTTGTTTTTTCAAGCACTTAATATTTAAAAATGAACATCAACTGATATATATTAATATGGCGTGTTTATGCCAAACAATCACAAAGACAAGCATGTCATTTTCTATCGATAGAAACACATTTAGGCCAAGATTTTACAAGTACGAACTATAAAAAGGATCTTAAAGTAACTAGTATATGCAAATTTATCTAATTAGGAATTGTTTTAAGAGGTAGAGGACCAAGGTATCTTTTTTGAAGTAGCATAATGGCAAGGTGCTTAAATGCATTTTTTCGTATGGCAACAAAATACTTGGCAACTTGAAGGTGCAAGGTCATTTTCTTTTTCAAATAAACAGCAGTAGGTTTCAACCAATTGGTCAAAATAATAAAGTCAAAATTATCAGGTTCATTTGCCATAATAAAAATAGAAGGCGGAGAGGACTAGCAACACTAATATTATTTATAATTTAAAGAGAGAACAAGAGATAACATAAAGAAGAGTTGGTCTTGTAGGCGACCGGAGAACTTACACAGACACATAAAAACACTCCTGACAGTCTGTCATGAATCAGCATTATCGTCCATACTTAGAAAATAATAATTAAGAAATTAGTTTTATCTTGACCAATGGTAAAACATGTGCCTAGGTGAATTAACCTGTTACTGGACCCTTACTTGTTTAACATAGTAATGGTCTTAGCTTTGTATTTAGGCACTGAGGTTTTATACAAACATATGCTGAATATTGGTAATTTTATGCAAAGTATAAGACCAATAACAAGTTAAATCAGCTGAATTTAATTATTTATTTAATCATCTTGACGAAAGGAAGGAATATTAGAACCATTTTAATAGGCCTTCATTGTAACAATACTGCGAAGTATATTTTCCTTTCCAGGTGTGGTATTATAAAAAATATTTCAAGATATATACTCAATGACGCCAAATAGAAATCTTTTTCGTAGTCATGACGTTTTCTTAAAAATGTTTACTAATTGGGATAAATATTTGCCACATGAAGTTATTTTTTAAATATAAATAATATAGCATCATGTTGAGGTAGAAGAAGGGACATTTAAAACACATTTCTAAATGCATAAAAAATCTCATCAGGATATTATTACGCTAAAATCAGAATTGTTTTTTTTGGTTTGTAGATTAAATATTAATGTAAATTATATAATGTTATAATTGTAGTTGTACACATTAAGTAGTAAAAAGTCCGTAAAACGTGATGTTAAAATCTTTTTCGAACACATTTAGCTTTGTCAATAAAAACAATTACTAAAACGCTTGTTTTGAAAAATATTTTCGTTACATTTTTAACCACCTTTGATATTAAATACTAAAATAAATACATAACAATGTTATGTCATAGTTATTGGTGTTATAAGCGCCCTTATTATCACACTTACGGCGACTTTTGTAGTGAAGGTGTAGGTCTTACTAGCGTTGCCCCAACGAAGGCTAAGGCGATGTATGGTGGCGTCTACGACGTCGGAAAACCAAAGCGAAGATGCTTCGAAGTCGCCGCCAACGTCTTCGACCACCACTAGTCGATATACCGGTCCCTATTATTGATGACTGTAACAAGTTAAGTTGTAAAAGTAAACAACATGGACGAATCTTTTGACGACCCTAATCATACTTTGAAACGACCAAAATTTTATTTTTTTTGGTTGTCTAAAATCAACATAACAATCTTCATAACATCTGCTACACATCGCTATTTAAAACTCAATTTAAATTTAGATCACAAATCAAAATGCTTTGTATGAAGGTTAACTGTTTATAAAATTACTGAAATGATGAATTGTGACTATTGCCAATAACTTCCCAAACCTTGGATGGTAACCAAAGCCTGATTCTACAATATTATTGAATATACGATAATAAACACAAAAGTGTAGTTAACTAGTGATAGTAGGTCAAGTGGTTAGCGATTCTGACTGCTAAGCCAGACGTCGTGGTTTCCATTCCCGCCCAGGACAAATATTGTTTAAACAGCATGATCATTTGTTCTATGTCCGAGTGTAATTTATCTATAATATAATTATGTAATATTTACCAGAGATTTCCAAACTACTTGGGCAAGAGACCCCTTTTCCAAAATGAACTGATACCTTAAACTTAAAGTAATTTGGCTATGGGTATAGCATAAGTACTTTAAAAAGTCCATCCCTAGTTTTTTTTCCTATTGATAGAAAATACTTATCTAGCCAAGGGTGGAAGGGATTGACTAGGAATTGTCAGTTTTTGTTTACGTTGATATGAACCACTTTGGGAATCTCTGATCTATACTATACATATATATATAAAATATGTACGTATTCAGAAATATATAATTATGTTTATCAGCATGCCGGTTACCATAACACAAGCTCGGCCTATTTTATTTTGAGCTGTTAATTAGTATATTAATAAATTATAAGTTGTCTGTTGTACTAATAATTAATCTATCTAACAATGAAAAGAAGACACTCAGTACAAAGCCAACACTTCTTGTTTCGCTTGCAATTGAGCATACAGTATATTTGGTGGTAATGCATCCTATAATCCAGATAAACACGTCATATGTAAACTACAGTATAGTATAAAACTTGTAATCACCTGTCTTTGCCTTTCCAAGCGTCGTATTTCCCTAACGAGAGCATGGAAAGCATCATCAACGAAGTGTCGAAGTGCAGCTGACGTCTCGAAGAACGGGCAACCAAGCTGAGTCGCGAGAGCCTTGCCTTCCTCTGTCGTCACCTTCATAATCATCAGGCACAGTTTTTTTTTTATGTTATTACCATAATGATCTATTTTATATAATATAACCATGAAAATATAATCACTTATGATATATGGTATAAGAGGTACTACTAAAGGTATAAGAGGCTTTTGTTAGTTAAGGAATATTTCAGAAATTAAACAAATTAAGTTTTAATAATGCAAAACAGTTTTATATCATCAACTAAACCATAGTAGGCCAAAACCTCCTTTCTAAGGAGAGGCTTATGTCCAGCAGTGGACTATTAAAGGCTGTTGATGAACTAAACCATGAACAACTGAAAAAAAGGACAAATATGAAAAAGTTTCTATAAATGGTTCCAGTTGACTATTGGAACCCTGAAAAACGAAGATACATCATTATTCATAATAATAACTATAAACAATCTGCATGAATGTTGTTTCTAATAGGTAAAACAAATGGGCACTTTACAAGTATCCGTCAGCTTGATATTATAAAACAATATGAACTTACTTGTCTAAACCTAGGCGCGAGATCCAGCTTATTCCCCACCAGGACCAGAGGGAGTCTCTCCGTAGGTCGAGCCTGAGCTAGCAACCGCCTGTACTCAGCAGCAGCGCGGAATGAACGCCGGTCTGTCACTGAATAGCACAGCACAAAGCCCTCTCCACAGCGCATGTACTGCTCTCTCATTGCTGTAAACTCCACCTGTGGCAGTTAGGTCAATAGTTAGTTGTAAACTTAGCTCCATACTGTTATATCATTATTTATTATTCATACAGTTAATTAGTAAAATATTTTAATATTAACAGAAGAGGCAGATTGACTCAGTGGAACAATAGTTTATACTAATAACAACTAAAAATGTGAAGATGGGAGCAGAGAATTGTGATTGTTTGTGTTTTGAGGTGATGTACATTAATAGAAAAGACAAGAAATGGCACCACTGCAATTTGGACATAAGGGATAAAAATTTGTTATATTTATCAAATATTTGAGAACATGCAAAGCCCATGTCCAAACAGAGATTTAAAAGGTGGTGCAAGAGATGCATACTACACCATGTATTCATTCTGAATATTTGTATGGTTAACTGACCTGTCCCGCAGTATCCAATATATCCAACAAAGCAGGCTCTCCATCAATTACTGCTTGCTGTTGATATGAGTCCTCTGAAAAACATAATTATAGTCAATTCGCATTAATAAAATAGTGACATATTGATCAAGTGACGACCTAGTAGTTAGGACCCTGGAGCACTAGACGCCGAAGGCTACAACCAATGGCTGCAACAACCAGATTACATAACTAGAGTATGGTCAGAGCCATCTAGTGGATGAGTTGCTTAAGTAAATCAGATCGATACGGCCACTGATCATAGTCACAAGTTGCTTTAAACTTCCCAATGATAGTAAAAAAACATTGTTATTTTAAACTTTATAATACATACCATAAGAAATACTCATTTTTCAACCCCCCATTTTATTCTGCGAATAAAGAGTCCTTAACAATGTGCAAGATAAATATGGACATGAGGAATAGTGTTATAAGACTCCATTACATTGTAAGTCATTTGAATTGGTTCATGATTGACAAGAAGAATCTATATTGGCTGTAGTTTTTGAGCTGATTACCTTCCGATGCCATGCTCGTAACCGCTCTTGCTGACCGAGGCTTACAATGCCAGTATTTATTACAAATAGCTTCGTTTTACCCTGTGTCAATGAGTGTTAGTACAGTACTACTAATAATATCTGTGTATGTATGCTACCTGATGTATACATTAGGTAGCATACATACACAGATATTATTCAAACATCTTGTTATAACAAGATGTTTGAATACTGTAATATTTGTTTGTTTTATTGATCTGAGAGATACCTAGACAGATAATATATACAATAATATATAAACATTGAATTATATATAAACATACCAATTTACAAACCCACTCTAAGAAGGCCTATGTCTGGCAGTGGACTATCAAAGGTTGTTGATGTGATACCAGTTTCCTTCTAATACCACTTAAGAAATATTAATTACCTTCAGATAATTGAGTTGCAGAATGACTGTAATTTTTTAAATTATGATTTCATTCATGTAAGCTCTAAATGCCAACTGCTTTTAAATACTGTGATGAATAACATTTCATTTCAGTGTTTTATTAACTAAAATAACTTGTAGATAAGAGAACTAGACTCATACCATATGGTGCTTTGTAGTAGCTCTCAAAACTTCTTATAACCACTATACATATTATTTTTATTAGTATTTACAACAGTAAAAAGCCCTATTTAGCACATCGATAGTCGTCAGAGTACCTATAGTGGGGTCATGGTAGTCCAAGAAGCTGTGGCTCACGAACTGCAGTGTTACGGCGGATTTGCCCACACCGCCGTCGCCCAGCACTACGATCTTGTAGACGCGGAGGCCGCGCGACGTGCCCGCAGCCTCGCCCGCCATGCCGCCGCATCCCTGCGCCCTCGAGCCGCGATTACCGCGACACCCGCCGCCGCCTTCACGCCCCAGCCAACGCCATCGCCCGCTGCCGCACACGCCGCTGCCTAACACTAACACCACCTTGCCCAATTTAACTACACCCAAACACTTATCACTTTACTTTTCATTTATCAATGCACATTTTGGTTTACATACAAATAATTTATCTCCTATTCTTAAATAAAAAAATCGACAGCTGATTAAAGACGATTGACATTTCGATAATTGTATATATAGTCTATAGTAGAGATTAGAGGTTGTATTCATATGTATTAGATTCTTACTAAAAGCTTTTTAAATGCTATGAAATTTTCGAATTCTTTTATTGCTATTATTGCTACTACTATTATCAGTATATGGCACTTATTATGACACTTATTGTGTTAAATAAGAAAGTACATAAATTAATGATTATATCGATCCTTTTGAACGCATTTTGGAGTAGTGAAAATATTAGAAATTTACTAAATGAGATTATAAAATACAAAATAATTCTACATAGTGAGCATCATTTTCATCATCTACATCATTTAAGCAGTCTAAATTAATTTATCATCAATTGACTTTTTTAAAATTTAATTTATACTAGATCCTATTGCTTTGAACTTAAGGCTATGATTTTTTAAAGTTTCTGAATGTACTCTAATAGTGTCAATGTCAAATAATTGGGCAGCTTTCTGTTGTGTTTTTTTTACGTTTGTGTGTGTTTTTTTTAAATTATAGAAGGGATTTCTTAGGTGACAATGGCACACATACAATTTGTAGACGAATTAGTTCGAGAATACCTGTTATTCAGAGGTTTTTCATCAACGGTAAAAGCGTTTGACAGTGATTTAAAAGCAGATAAAGACAAAGGTTTCCGAGTTGATAAAATAGTAGAACAGGTTGTGCATTACATTAATGTATCGGATATTAGTGGGTTAAAGGAATATTGGTCACACTTGGACGCTTTGGTTTTCTCGAAGCTAGAAAGTCATGTTCAACCAGGTAAGCTTAAATAAAGTAATAATACCTTCAAGTTAATTTCTAGTATAAAATGCTTATACTGATCTATTGTTTTAGCTGTTCGGAAATTAGAATATAGTTTGTACAAGCTATATCTTGTGACAGCTGCACAAAGCACTGGCGGTGTTCGCAATGAGAGGATTGCTGACTTTTTAACTAAAATGATACCTGAACTGCAAGGGCAGGTTGAGTGGAGAGATTGGTTTAGTAAGTCTTTTCTTTTCTCCTTTCTTTTCTTCTTTCATATTATAGAAATCAAACATAGCTCACGTAGGACCCGTAATATTTGTGGCCGTGGTGCTTCCCTGTTTAAAAGGGTGTATGCCCATTTTACTTCATTTTGTCTCCCGCTTTGCTAAGGAGGGAAGTGGATTTACTGTATTTCCAACTCCTCCAATTTTCTTCTGATTAATTTCGTTGCGGGTTCCAAGACAGTTTAATTTCTTCCTGGGACTTCCCGAGTGTCATAACTCGGTGTGTTCGTGGGTCACTGCTGTGGATCCTGGTGCACAGGAGTTACAGTGGTGGGCGTGTGGGTGGGATTAGTCCCAAGTCTTTTCACCTATATAATTATAAGACTAGCAATTGCGGACGGCTTCGCTCGCGTGATTAGTTCTGGTACCTGCAACTTCGTTTGTGTGAAATTGAAAAGCACTGCCTTAGCGATACACAGCTGCAGTCCATGAGGCCTCAGGTTCGATTACCCAAAACAAACAGACATAAAAAAAAAACTGGTTTTTAGGCATAGGTAACGTGCAAATAAGCAAATAACCTTGTGAGCATGAAAAAAACCTATTATTTCAACATTACAAACAGATACTTGAATTTTATTTATTTGTATAGATTTCATGTTTCAAACTTTGATAATGACAAACTACCATACAAGTGTTTACACTTTATTTTACCTGCCTTAAGGGTGAAATTTCTAAGAATCCTTTCTTAGTAGGTGCTGGCAACATAAAAGTATCAGCTGCCAAAATTTCAGGTTTAAAGCCCCAGTGGTTTAGTCTCTGCATTGATGAATCAGTCAGCTATGACATGTAATTTTATATGTATAGATAAATATAGATGTGTCACATGAGTTTTGTTCTATATTAGTATAGTCTGATGCAAACTTAACAGCTCAGAAGTTAGCTGTACACAAGTGTGCGCATATGCAGCGTACAGATGTAACTCGCATACTGAAAGGCATGCATGTCCATATTATTGTGTTCTGCCCATTGAAACGCACGATATTCCGAGGCGCCATTAAGTTTGCATCAGACTATATATATTACATAGGTACATTGTCAGTTCTTCTCACCATTTTGTTTAAGAACCAACTAGGGTAATAGAACTCTTTTTCATCATCATCATCATCATCATCATCAGCCTATCGCAGTCCACTGCTGGACATAGGCCTCTCCCATTGCACGCCACTTAGATCGATTTTGGGCTTCTCGCATCCAGCTCCTGCCAGCCATCTTGCGCAAATCGTCACTCCACCTGGCCTGTGGGCGTCCTACACTACGTTTGCCGAGACGCGGTCTCCACTCAAGAACTCGTTTTCCCCAACGGTTATCGGTTCTGCGGCTAATATGGCCACCCTTCAACTGTTGAATACGTATATTTGTGTTAGTTTTCGGATACCTAGCTGATGCGATCCTTAGTAAAACACATAGCTTTCCTAGACTAGCGATTTGAATCACCAAGAAGCCGTTGTCTACTTGCAGTCGTATATCAGGACTGGTGAGACACCTAAGCTTTCCTTCTAAGCACTGGTGATAAATGAAATTCCACGAGCTTCCAGCGGCCCACCACCGAATTCTTTTCACATCGTTCGATTTGTTACAGCTGAATTGCCACGTCCTAAATTTGAAAAACTTCACGGCTTATACAATTTCGTAGTACATTCGTTAACATGACCTTGGTTTTTCAGTACTCTCAGCTCTTACACGATAGTGTATTATAGCTATTTACACTACATTAAAAGCTCTCAGATACGATTATCGCAAATCGCAATGAGGAGGTATGTTGAATGAAGCACGCTTTCCAGGACTGCATGCTCATTTGCTTTGAACCATCGCAGCACTACGCCTTGTCTGACGCGGCCGCGCGCGTCGGGCCCTCTCGCCCATGTCTGCGGACATCCTGCGCCCTCGAGCCGCGATTACCGCGACACCCGCCGCCGCCTTCACGCCCCAGCCAACGCCATCGCCCGCTGCCGCACACGCCGCTGCCTAACACTAACACCACCTTGCCCAATTTAACTACACCCAAACACTTATCACTTTACTTTTCATTTATCAATGCACATTTTGGTTTACATACAAATAATTTATCTCCTATTCTTTAATAAAAAAATCGACAGCTGATTAAAGACGATTGACATTTCGATAATTGTATATAGTCTATAGTAGAGGTTAGAGGTTGCATTCTTATGTATTAGATTCTTACTAAAAGCTTTTTAAATGCTATGAAATTTTGGAATTCTTTTATTGCTATTATTGCTACTACTATTATCAGTACATGGCACTTATTATGACACTTATTGTGTTAAATAAGAAAGGACATAAATTAATGATTATATCGATCCTTTTGAACGCATTTTGGAGTAGTGAAAATATTAGAAATTTACTAAATGAGATTATCAAAATACAAAATAATTCTACATAGTGAGCATCATTTTCATCAATTGCATCATTTAAGCAGTCTAAATTAATTTATCATCAATTGACTTTTTTAAAATTTAATTTATACTAGATCCTTACTCCTTTATACTAGAGCTTTGAACTTAAGGCTATGATTTTTTAAAGTTTCTGAATGTACTCTAATAGTGTCAATGTCAAATAATTGGGCAGCTTTCTGTTGTGTTTTTTTACGTTTGTGTGTGTTTTTTTTAAATTATAGAAGGGATTTCTTAGGTGACAATGGCACACATACAATTTGTAGACGAATTAGTTCGAGAATACCTGTTATTCAGAGGTTTTTCATCAACGGTAAAAGCGTTTGACAGTGATTTAAAAGCAGATAAAGACAAAGGTTTCCGAGTTGATAAAATAGTAGAACAGGTTGTGCATTACATTAATGTATCGGATATTAGTGGGTTAAAGGAATATTGGTCACACTTGGACGCTTTGGTTTTCTCGAAACTAGAATGTCATGTTCAACCAGGTAAGCTTAAATAAAGTAATAACACCTTCAAGTTAATTTCTAGTATAAAATGCTTATACTGATCAATTGTTTTAGCTGTTCGGAAATTAGAATATAGTTTGTACAAGCTATATCTTGTGACAGCTGCACAAAGCACTGGCGGTGTTCGCAATGAGAGAATTGCTGACTTTTTAACTAAAATGATACCTGAACTGCAAGGGCAGGTTGAGTGGAGAGATTGGTTTAGTAAGTCTTTTCACCTATATAATTATAAGACTAGCAATTGCGGACGGCTTAGCTCGCGTGATTAGTTCTGGTACCTGCAACTTCGTTTGTGTGAAATTGAAAAGCACTGCCTTAGCGATGCACAGCTGCAGTCCATGAGGCCTCAGGTTCGATTACCCAAAACAAACAGACATAAAAAAAAAACTGGTTTTTAGGCATAGGTAACGTGCAAATAAGCAAATAACCTTGTGAGCATTAAAAAAAAAGTATTATTTCAACATTACAAACAGATACTTGTATTTTATTTATTTGTATAGATTTCATGTTTCAAACTTTGATAATGACAAACTACCATACAAGTGTTTACACTTTATTTTACCTGCCTTAAGGGTGAAATTTCTAAGAATCCTTTCTTAGTAGGTGCTGGCAACATAAAAGTATCAGCTGCCAAAATTTCAGGTTTAAAGCCCCAGTGGTTTAGTCTCTGCATTGATGAATCAGTCAGCTATGACATGTAATTTTATATGTATAGATAAATATAGATGTGTCACATTAGTTTTGTTCCATATTAGTATAGTCTGATGCAAACTTAACAGCTCAGAAGTTAGCTGTACACAAGTGTGCGCATATGCAGCGTACAGATGTAACTGGCATACTGAAAGGCATGCATGTCCATATTATTGTGTTCTGCCCATTGAAACGCACGATATTCCGAGGCGCCATTAAGTTTGCATCAGACTATATATATTACATAGGTACATTGTCAGTTCTTCTCACCATTTTGTTTAAGAACCAACTAGGGTAATAGAACTCTTTTTACCATATCTGAATACATATTTTATCATACATTAAATCCCATATAATCTTAAAACTAAATTAAATTCCCTATATTTTGTCAATTCTTCATTTTTTCTATTTTGTTTGCAGTGCTACCATTCGTACAGAAACCAGAAGAGAATCCATCTTTCAGCCTGTACTTCACGAGATCTTGGCAGGACAGTGTATTGGTCTCGTTACACAATCTTTTGGCTACTGTGTTTCAATGCATGCCACAACCAACGTTGACAAGTTATGAAAGTGATGCAGCTATGGTTAAGAGGCTGCAGGACAAACTGGCAACAGTATCGGGAAAGGTATTTTTTATAATAAAGTTTTAAGTATTACCTGATTGTAATGACTTATGTTTATCCTGCCGTTGATATTCAACCATAATCAAAAATTCCCCTTACAGTAGTCATAAATTATAAGTTACATCTGTAAACGAATTCTCGAAGTAAAAGTTCAAACACAAATTTTATCATGAGAACTGGCCATCAGACTTTCAACCTTAGCCTGGGGTCCCCAACTTCCACTTACACACTTTCAGTCCTTTACACAAAGTTATTTCCACAGATTGCAGGAAAGTGAAATAAAAGATATTACACATTAAAAATCCTTTTTGGGTTATACATCCAAGATCATTCACTTTCAGAATACTATAGCCAAAATAAAACACCTAGTATTACTGTAGTTGCATTTTATGTGTATCATCTGAGGTGTAGCACCTCGCATGTTCACTGGTCACTACTAACTACTACTGTAAAGAACAACGAGGAAAAGAGAAAATAGATAACTATCTATAAAACTATATCTAAAACTGCATTAAGATTGTTTGTCTTTTTGCCAGACCAGACTTTAGTAAAAAAAACAAAACATTTTATTTATTTGCGTGTACCTCTTTTCATAGGCCCAGCCACAGCAAGCAGTTGAAAAGACATCACCAATTGGTCATCAATCCCGTCTCTCTCAATATTCCGAACGGCTCAGCGGTCCCTTGCCTCTAGTCGACGACTTCTGCGCAATCCCATCAGAGCAACTCGAGAGTGGAGTCCGCGAAGCCAAAGGACTCCGCAGCCTCTTACGACAGATGGGAGGGAGTCCCGTGATGGGTAGAAAACCTGGACGATCTCAAAGCCAAAACTAATAATTGTAATTATTTAAATATTGTAAATAGTAAATAAAGGTTCCTTATAATTTAATGTTTAAATGTAGGTACTTATTTTTTGTATTTCATAACCTAGCCCTGAGGAAATATTTAGCTACCTAAACTGTTTTAAACACACCACAAACTGTTAAAGTAGCAACTTGTTTCCGCTACTAACTATCATCATCAACCTATCCCCTCCACTGCTGCACTAAGGCGTCCCATAGGAACGCCAACTATCCCGGTCTTCGGCCCCCTTCATCCATCCGCTATCATATAACATGGAAGTAAATTGTTTTGAGGATTCGCTGCTACGCATTTCTGGGACACCAACAATTATTAATTTAACAAGCAATTCAATCTTCGAAAGGGGGGCTCGGTAATCAACGGGTTAATCTGTTCGTATGCTGCGATAGAGGAGGCAGTGCGTTCTGGTATTATTCTGTCAGCTGTGCCTCTTTAGTAACCTAAGCCAAACAGCGCTTTATCGTGCTGATTGTCGCTACTCGGCAATCGTGCTCACTTCAGTTTGTCCGTTATGTTTTGGGCGACTTTTACCAAACTAGCGGAACCAATAGATTCAAAGCTAGCTCACACCGGTGCTGCTCAATTGTCATAGGTTCCAACCCATGACAATTGAGCTTAATTCAATTGATCTTAATTCAAGAATAATGTTCATGTAGGTTTGTAGTTTGATCTACGAAATGCAAGATCTACGATATTCACCTAACTACCCTTTTTAGAGTAATTTACTCCAAGACAATAATAAAAAAATATATGTCACATTACATGACGTCAAGAAGCATATCAGCTAATCATTACCTTTAATTTGGAATGTAGGCCTGTAGACCTACAAAATTAAACCGTTTAGACCAAATTTGGGCAATATTTTAATAAAATTCTAAATTTCGTGAAATATTTAAATCAGTCAACATGACGGCCACGCCCGCATTCAAAACTGATGCCTTGAAAAGATTTACTCGTAGGAACACGGTGTGGTACCAAAACAACCTTAAAAAAGTTTTAGAAGCTTGCAAAGAGAGGCACGTTAGGGACATTGACACTAACATCGCGATGGCCGAGGAGCTCGAGGCGGTAAATAGTTCACTATCTGCTTATTTATACCTGACCATATAAGATTCCCAACATGCTAGTTGCCAAACCCCGGCGACTAGAAGTATTTGATCCCCGTGAGGATTTTACAAACCCAATCAGCACAAAGCAAAACTTTATCTAATGAATAAAGTTTTAAACACTCAACTAAGTTACTCCTTCACCTTTTTCCAAGATTTCAATACAAATATTTTCCCTTGTAGATACTAAATGAGAAGGTAGAGCTCCCGAGAGAAATTGAACCACATTTATGTGAGCCATTCGAAGACGACAGTTTAATGAGACCAGTAGCACCGGAGGTATTAGATATCCTGTATCGCAGCACTGAGAAATACGCAACGGAAAGATATTTAAAACGAAGAAACCACGATTCACCAGAGGATAAGTTAGTTTGATGGGCAAATAATAATAATAGCTACACACATCTCACACATGGCAGTCTGATCCCAAAGTAGTGATTTAGGTATGGTAACCACATGGTGGACAGCTGATAAACATACTTAATATTTCTAAATACGTTAAATACGTTTCTAAATACATATTTTTGATAAATTATGACCAGACACAACAAATGATGATGGTAGAAGCAGACTGGCATGAACAAAACAATTCCTTTATACCACAGTGACCCAACTGTTAATAGTACTATTTTCCCTGAGAACTGTAAATCGCTTACTGTAGAATGAATGGCTTTCTGACTGCACGTCTTGCCGTTCTGATCTAAGTGACAATTTTTTTTTGTGTAAAACTTTAATTTGTGTTACTATTATTTAAAAATATCGTAGGAAACATTGTTACAAGTTCAATTCAACATGTTAGGCATGATTTTATTAAATATTTACTAATAATGAGAAATTAGTTTTTTCAAAACAAGTACAAACACGTTTCCCTAGTTTTCTCAAAAGTCAAAATTGTGACTTAGATCAGTCTAGTTCTACCATCGTCAAATAATCGTCCTCATCACATAATTTTTTATCCTGGATGGGAAATCGAACCCAGGACCTCCAGCTTACCGTCAGTGTCACTAACCACTAGAGCCTAGTATTGACGGGCCGGTTGGTCCAGTGGCCAGACCAACAGGCCCGTCAATAATTTGTACCCAATCAATCTGATACAACAGCAAATTAGAATTACTAACATTACTAATTCTCGACTTGTAATCAAATACACAGCTTCGACTTACCTGACGTTCACAGTAGATCTTCGTCTCGATGGGCCTTGAGCTTCTTGCTTAATTACATAGCTTAGACAAATTTAAAACTGTAATTAGGTTACGAATTGGTTTTAATCAGCGCTCCAAGAAGCCCCTCATTTCTAGATACGTCTTCAGAGTAGTAACGAGCTGGGACTACGGATGGCAGCAGAAGCAGTCTAAACAACGCGCGCGTGACTTCAATCGCGGACGCTGCGCTATCTTACGCGACACGTTTTATCGAAAGAACAACCTCAAGCCCGATCCACCGCACTACGCCCAACCTAGTGGCAGTGAATTCTCAACATGCAGCGAGTATTCTTGCAATTTTAACTGAAAACGCCAGATATTTAATGAGATCCAGATAAACAAACACGTAGTATTTAAATACTATGATTATCAAGCTCAAATGAATTCACTTGAAAAGTGATCATGTTAATGTCCGCGTTTATAAATTATCTTGCTTGTAATTATAAATAATTATTTGTTCAATAACCCTCGAGTGATTGTGCTCTCTATATTAGTGAATGTTCAAACAATTATATTAAATCAATTAGTTTTGTATCGGTTTCGGGTGCCAGCATAATATTTGTATGGTGTATAGCACTGAGAAACAGTAAATGAATAAGACTCCAGCATTGTTTAGTTCCTAAGCCTTAAACCAATTGAACCAAATGAAATAACACCAGTTATAGCAAAAAACATATATTTTATAATTATATTATTTACAATATTTCAACTTTTATTTACATATTAACAACAGCGAGTGTACCCTTCGTCTAAGGCCACGTCTAACTGTTCGATAGGGAATTAAAAAATGTGTACAGACAACTTTCAAATGATCGAAAGATTCGTGTGAAAAGTTGATGTCTATGCTCGGTGTCAATAGATCAGTTGGGAATAAGAGAAGCAGTCGTTTCTACATTATATTACAAAAATAATATGAATATGAAATTTTAACTATTGTGACAAAGATTATATAATAGCAGTACCATCTATTGAAACCGAACGACGCTCAAATGCTACTATAAAATTAATCAACCAGCATATCAACAACATCCACTCACTCCTAACAAATTACTATGACAATAATAATTAATAAAATAAAGATTAATATTAATAATAATAAATATGAGAGTTTTTGTTCTTTCTCAAGTTCATATTTTGACACATTATGTACAATTTATTTATATATCAGTCTGTATTATCTGCATAAATAATATAGTTTAAGGTTTGTCAACAATTTTAGTATATGTTGTGCAATATGAGACAATTTGTTATGCTCACTCTACTTTGGCCCGTCGTAACTTATATTGTTAAAGCTGTCCAGACATGCTATATAAATTAGTGCTTCGGTAATTATGCGCTTGAACACAACACTTGGATTTTAAAATAATATGTATGCGAGACAACTTTCTATACGCATAATTATCCATTTCACTAAGGTACGCAAGCAAGCTAGATACAGCTCCCTTAATTTGCTTAGTGTCAAGAAAAAGTGATACCGTTGTAACTGTCATTTGTTGTATTTCTTAAATTCACTAATATGCATACTGCCCTAGAATTGCCAACTGTATGATTATATCAGCCATTTTTCGTAGCAATGTGTTCTTTTTGGGATATATGCATCTTTTTTGTTTCATCTGTTTGAGCTATGTACTATAGGCGAAACAGTATGTATATATATATATGTATATTTTATAAGTATACATAATACCTCGAAGAACACTTCTTTGAAGACCACACAAATTATAACATAAATATTAGCATTTATAACTGAAAATTTAAAATAACCATTTAAAACCATAATAATATTTACAAATAAAATCAATAATACATTTAATACAAATTGTTGGCAACCCTCACAGAACTTATGTAATCAAGACATAACCACCACCATAATGTACTGGAGTACTTCATCAAGGGGGTGTATACATATGTTTACATTTTTAATTTATAAACTATTTTTATACTGTTGGGTTAAGTCAAAGTATTGTACATTGAAAATTGTCTAGATATGCTCAACACATATTCGTGAATTTTAAGAGCCATAATAAATAAGGAATATTTTTTAAACTTCAATTTCACAACAAAATTTCGACTGATAATTGTAGTTTAACCTTCAAATGTGTGTGATGATAAGATGAATGAGATCAGAAACACATACAGTACGAATACAAGTAATGTTGCTACTTTGAAATTAAGGTTTCCATTTACATTATCTAATTCAGAGCTGTCCAAACCACGGTTAAATTGGTGGAGCCCGCAAAATATTTTTCATCTGCCTTTAATAAGCTTGATAGAATTATAAAACAAAAGTTAATACCTTTTTGTCTTCTGAATTATTTTTTTCAATCTACTTCGTCATTTTCTTGGCCCTAAATTGTATCTGGTTTGGACAAACCTGATCTAATTCATTAATTGCTAGTTTCAGGCGAATGTAAATTTATTTCAAAAACCAAATGAGTCTAAATTGAGTGGAATGTCTCTTACTTTAAACGTTCACATCTATGTCAAAGTATTTTTTTTTATGTGATTAAGGTCATGAGAAATCAACACATAAAATTGCTGATTATTCAACGGCTGCAACATTATTACAATCGTACTTTGTATAAAACCTGTTTCTACCAGCCTTATCACTAAACATAGACAACAAACCATGTTTAAAACTTTTTTTGTTTGTTTTCGAATGGTCTCAGCCCGGTGCTTTCGGCATTTAGGCTACGTTTTGTAATAAGGCGGAATGTGTCGCAGTATACAAGCTACGGCGCTTAAGTAGTGCAATGATATGAATTTATTGTCACAACTTTGTAAAATCAACAATCACTCATATGAATAACAAAGAAAGTTCTATCGCTATCATTTGCGTGGAACAATATTGAACACATTCAAATTTACAAACCTTCTGAGCAAAGAACAGTAATATTTTAATAATAATATGCTCTGGTGAGAAATAGTAACTTTGGTTTAGTTCATAGATTGTCAAGTTTTAGTACTCTTTCTGGGCAATAACATTGGTAGTATGGATTTTTCTGTCTTCTTTGAGCCTGACAGGCTCCAGAATTGTCTATTATTATTATATATTGAAAACAATGAATGGAGACATGTAATACAAAATACTTTCATATATTTGCAAGGCTATGAATTTAATATCAACAATAGTTACAACAGACTCGAACTGACTTACATAACATCGACTAACAAATGAACTCGTTGTAAACATGTCTTATGAAAGCACTCCGACGATATTTTTGATGTGTAACATCTATCCTCTCGCTGACGTGAAAAGGGACGGAAGTGTGTGTGTACCGAAAGCAGAAGACGCGCTATTTGATTTGACCAATGAGCGCGCGTAGTACTAGAGTTGGCCGTCAGATGGTAGGTGAGACTATAATAATAACTTCATACATGTCATACACCTGGATTAAAGTGCATAGTAATTCACACGGGAATGACGCTGAAGATGAGTTGGAGTTCATTATTAATGCGACGGACAGGTATCCAAGGATGCCTGAAAGCAGAAGAAACGTCCGCCCATGTAATCCTGGAATGCGAGGGAGTGGCCAGACAATGGGCACAAGGAGCTTGGTTGGCTCACCTAGCCAACCTCTTCTAGACGCATAAAGATCCACTCTCGAGTCTAAATGCCGAAGCCCACAACCAATACCAATGTCACACACGGCTGTCTGATCCCAAACTAGGCAGACCCTGTGCTATGGTGACCAAACTCTTTGGCGGGGATCTCACGCTACTTTCGCGAAGAGATCATCTCGCAGAAGGAGGCGGCAGAGAGAGCCCGGGAGGATGACCTCCACTCGGACCCAAAGTGCCTCATATGAATGTGGCTGCGGGTGGGTGGACGGAACGGGTTTTCTCCTCCATCCGCTATAGTTGCCAATCGCGAGGAGGCAATGTCGGTGTACGTGCGGGCGTGTGCCGGACGTGGCCTAAATCGAGAGTTTACCCGCGCTGTTGCGGTAAGAGATCCCGACCCCTCCCAGCGCCTGTGGGAGGGCGCGAAATGGCCCACCGTGTGGTTTTAGTCGGTTCGATTCCCACACACGGGGGTTTCCACACGTTACAAAAAAAAGCAAACAAAAACAAAAATCTAACCAAACTCTTGATAAACATACTTAAATATTTCAAAAGATATACATATTATACATAAATTACATTCACATCACATCAACAGCCATTATTACAACAACCAACATTTATAGGTCACTGCTGTACATTGGCCTCTTGGAAAAGACGTTTTGTTTTTTAATTACACAGACAATAAATTTGTCCAGGGTGGGAATCGAACCGACGATCCCCGGCAGTCAGGCACTAACCACTAGATCAACAGGCCCGTTATAAGATGTCAGATGTTACACACCATATGTGAATACTGTAAGGCGGACTTTAAGTCAAATCAATTGAGTTAAATAAATATAATAGTGCTTGCTTTTATATCTGTTACATGGAATTGAATTAGGGGATACGATAAAAAAATTTATTAAGCAATATAAATTGCTGTACAGTACCAAATTAACTACAGTATTATGTAAGAACTTGATGAAAGATGGTAATGTAATTGACCGTCAATTAAGCTACAAGGGGAATAATCATAGCGCATGTGGCTTTTATTCCCCTTCCAAGTGTACATTTCTTTGTTATAACTATTGAATAGAAGCTTATATTAATGGACTGTTTTACGGGTTGCATTTCTTTATCTTGCCTGCACATATAGATACTGTTTTATTTTTAAATTCGAATTTCTAAATATATAACCTTACAACTAAAATATTTTTCCAGAGATGTGATGCAACAACTATAAGACATTTTTTTTTAAATAAATTTATAAAATAAATATAATTTTAACAACTGCAAGACTTTTTAGACTTACGGCTGAACGGCGACTTCATAGTAGGTACATCACAAAAATACAACAAATATTCAGGTTATCTAAATTTAGATGTGTTCATTATTTCAGTAGAAAACATTCACTCGTTCCGATAATTTCACAAGTCACATTAGTCCGTGAACGCTTTTAGTCAATAACGATCACCGGAATCGTTCGATCGATTCCCTCATCGACAGACTCGCACGTAACATTCGCACCACGTTATTATCAGATAAAGCGTCTAGGCGTCGCGACGCCGCGCACTGTCGCTTAAGTCACTGGCGGGCGGCGGCGGCGGGAGGGGCGGGCGGGGCGGGGCGGCGGCGCGGCACTACGCGGGCGGCTGCGCGGGCGGCGGCGGCAGCGCGGGCGGGGGGCCGCTGGTCCAGTGCACGAGCGCGTGCTGCGGCAGCTGCGTGGCCTGGAAGTGGTCCTTCAGCAGCGCCTGCGAGAAGTTGCAGTGCATCTGGTACGCCTCGTTCTCTCGCTCCGTCTCGCCGGCGAGCCGGTATAAGTCTGCAAAATGTCACACCACTTTTGTTTCACATGTTACTCGACGACCACAAATAACTTATACAGATAATGAAGTAAAACAGATTTTATAAATTAATTTTACTGTAAAAGTCTAATACCATAGATAGTAAAAAAGTAAGTAGTTTGATTAGTGTTAAAAATAGTAACGATTGCATAAATGCTACGAAACCACATTGTGCCATCAATATCGTACTTTCGATAAATATGAAGTCTAAATTATTGTGAGTGCTATGTTATGCCAGTATTTGAAGTAAAGGGCATCAATTGTATATTAATACACTAACTAAAATAAAATAAATTTTGACCGAAGATAGCAGTACTCAAGCAACAGTGGCTGAACTGTAAATTATTTTTTATATTTGTTCTGTTAGTTAAAAACAACAGTTTATTAATATAAAATTGAAACCTTGGATTCTTTGAAATGAATTTGAACTCAAATTAAATTAGTACTTAGAGTAAATGATCCCTATGTTATTTTACACGCTTTATATTAGCTTCACTTGTATGTTTGTTTGTATGTTTGTACCCGACTCCTTTGGGCGTGATTTTGACTGACTTTAAACGGTCATAATTCGTTCAAACTTTGTAGATATATCGAGGAACGATGACAATACACTAATTTAAAAAAATTAAATTAAAAATATTATAGTTTAAAAAAACCAAAAAATACGATTTCTATAGAAAAATTTAGCGCTTTCTATAGTGCTTTTTCTATTGACAACATTTACCCAACGCTTTTTTTCAAATTTATTTTCTATTTTTTAGTTTGGTTTTCTATAGAAAGCGTGTTTTTTAGTTTTTTAAAACTATAATTTGTAATTATAAATTGAAATAGTTAAAAAGTATATAGGTTTTCCCAATAAACTAGTTGTTGCCATAGACATACTTTAAATTTAGTGTGAGTATTTCATACTCTGCAGCAACAGCAATAACCTTCAATCAAATGATTATTATAGTTTCTGTTACTGCTTAAGCTAGTTAGTGGTTAGCTATCGAGCCAAATATTGTAGCAATCAACAACAAAATAACCAATATTTTTACCTTTCAATATTGCCGATGCCCACAACTGAACATGCACATCAGGAATCTTGCTCGCAAGTTGCATGGCTGGTGTAACCATATTCATACTCTCACGAGAATTATTAATCGACAAGAAAATGTGCCCCAGTAGCACCAGGGAGCATGACGTCAGTCGGTTTAGGTCCTCAGCATTCGCCATTTTCAACGTCTCGCGGAGGTACCTCCTAAGTAAGGAAATAATAAAATTATATAAGTGGAGAAATTTTCGTATCGATTTATGTGCAGGGTAGTACGATATTGAATATTACTGAAGCTGGTTGAAAACAGACACAGAGCCGGCAAAATGGTAATTTAGAAGTTCTCTATCTTTAAGTAAATTAAGTAATTTAAATTAATTGATTAAGTAAAAATACATATATTTCTCTTAGATTTATAACAATACACTTACTTCGCCTCGTTATACCGCGCTTGGAAGAAAGCCTGCAGTCCTAGTACATAGTACGACGCAGCTCGCAGCCCGTGCGCGTATGCTGGTAACGACTCTGGCCTCACCTGCAAACGTAAAGTGATGTTAAGTCATTTGTTTATTTTATTTTTTCTCTGTTTGGGATAATTACAGCTGGCGTTAGTTTTAAAAACATAAGACAATATATGACCATCTGATGGCCATTTACAAATATCTGCGATTAAAAATACACGTATACAATACTAATACAATATTTTTTTGATGCCTTGTTTTTTTTTTTAATGTCAGGGGCGTAAGCTTTTGATATGTAATCTAGATTTAACTAGTTTTAAGTTTCATACACTTGCATATGGGCATGCATACCAAGTATTATATTTTATAGAAATAATGTACAAGAATGTAGTGCATGTATCCTGTTGGTTTATATAAATAACAAAATAAATACTTACCCCCTCTTAAGGGGGTTCAATCATAGTTCATAAGCTAAACCCCCACTTTCTTTAACCCCCGTTATTTTCATGTACTAATTCATTTTTCTTTCTTTCTTTGAGTAATTTTTGAAACCAAAATTATTATTTTTTTATTTACGACTACGTGACGAAATCTCTCCCCCCATCCCTGTCACCAAACATGATATTTTGGAGACCCCCTGAACGGGTCACGTGGTACGTTCCCTAGGGTCTTCCGTGTACGGATTTTGTACAGTTATGATTTAAAGGATATAACTATGAATATAAAAACACAAATTAATAATAAGCACTTACTTGTTCCATCAGTTGCGTTAGATCGTTGTCTCTTCGCCCTCGTAAATATACTATAGCCAAATTCAATTTTGCGAACATCCACAAATCTCTTTCTTGTGACATCTGAAATAATATAAAACTTTTAAAAACATTAGTTATATAACCAGTACATAACCATTAAAACTCCCAGCCTGAAAGACGATCAGGATGTGGAAAGAAAACAGATGGCGTTGTCGGTGAGAGTGAACATGTTGGCCCACAGGTTTCCACATTGTTCAAATAATGTTAAGATCACATTCTTCACATTATTTGAACAATGTACAATGTGAACACGTCTTTCTATACATGCAGCATGTGGGCTAGGTATACTCGTAAAGCATACAACTCCCTCCGTATGCAATAGAGGAATGCGTTTAGGGTGCTGTTGGGACTACCCCGCTTCTGTAGTGCATCCGGGATGTTCTCAGAGGCGCGAGTGGACCGCTTACACACTACAATGCGCAGGATGCGGGCTAGCTTTAACAGCATACTAGCCATGATTGCAGAGAGGTTAAATTCACTGCAGCGCCATCTCATGGTGTATAAATAAAATAGTGTAAATTGTCTCTACCAACACAGGATAATTTTTATGTATTACTAAGAATCAATCAGTCATGGTTACTCTAATAAAATGATATTATTATTGTAAGGTTTAGATTTAAATTAATAGAATAATGTTGATTTCAGTGTTATTGTAGTCAATATATTAGGAATAATGTGGTCGTGTACTAACGTGTATGGCGGTATGGAACTGCGCCTCAGCAGCCTCCATGCAGTTCATAGACATAGCGTACAGTCCAAGTAGACAATGTAACTGAGGCGTGTGGGCCGCTGCCGTCGCCGCTGTAAATGACAATATGTATCAAGATCGTGTACTGATGTTACAACTTTAGACATGCTTGATAAAAATGAAAATCAAGAAGGGTGTCTTAACTGCATTTTTTTTTTGTTAAGTACAAGTTGAAACAATCGAAAAAGTTGATAACTACTACATAAAAGTATAAACCACTGGTTTCCTTAACTTTGCTCGATTGTAAATTGCCAATTTTGTGCTACTTTTAAATAAATGTTATTTTTATTCTTTATGCACTAATTACAATTAATGTACAACGGCGGACTTGATGCCACAGACATTTTTGCTCAGTCTACCTTTTGGTGGTGTAAATTTTCATACATAAATACAAGCCAAAACTGTAAAAAAATAAAACTGATCTCAAAATTTGTACGACGTCATAAGGGCAGTACGGGCAGAATGTACGTACGCGTGGGCGCCACCGAGAGCAGATGCGCGGCGCGCGCGATCTCGTGCAGCGCTTGCGCCTTGCCGCCCGCCACGAGGCGGCACAGCGCCGCGTGCTCCACCAGCGCCATGCGCAGGCGCCACGCCAGCGCCGCGCCTCCGCGCCCCATCGCCGACGACCGGCTCTCGTCGCACCCGCTCGCTGCCGACAACACTCATCGCGTAAACATTGCATTCCAAATATTCTCTGAGGACTTCTCCGAATATTCTTATCGTTACAAAATGAGAAATTATTTCAAGTCAATATTTTGACTTCAAATAACTCTCAGTCTCACTCGAAATAATAATTTACCGAAGCCGAATTGAGACCTTACAATCACAATAAAATTGATTATGAATCACTACACAAAATGGTACTTATCTTAATCGTGACCTGAGTAGAATTTACAAGCATTTAGCATTTTTTGTTAAATGGAGTGTGTGTTTTTAAGGTCTATTAAATTTTCTATTTTTATAAGAAATATGTATCTTATATTCTTGTATAAATTAATCATTGAAGGCATTTTTAATGAATTCGATATAGTCACATAGCATTTATATCAACAAATAGAGATATTCATTAGCAGAGACAAGGAATAGTATACTAACATGTGAGCTTGTCAATCTGCGCGAGAGCCTTCTCAGTGTACTTATGCGCTTTCTCCATGTAGCCAGCCTGCGCCGAGTGCATCACGGTAACCAGGTACACCAGCACGTATAGCTGTTGCCGCGACAGCCACACGAACGACTCGCCTGGCGCACTACCGCACACCGCTAAAACATATATACATAATATGTATTCAACTAAAAAGTATTCCATCAACTTTTTTACATCATCGTCATCACATAAAGAGCCTCTAATAGTCCAGTGATGGACATGCACATCTCCTTAAAAAGGAGGTTTTTGCCTACTATACTACGCTCTATAGTATAGGGTGATGTTGATGTTGTCCTTGCACAGTTTGCTTCTTTTGTGGCTTTTACGATACCCATGGGATGAACAAGGGTGATGATACTCTGTATTCTTAATCCGTCACCACACGGACAACAATCAAGTTTTTAGATAACACTAATGGTTTATCAAAAATAAAAACTAAATTTGAGCAGGTATGATGATACTCAACTGTAAAGGAGATTGGCGAGTCTCTTAGGACTCTGGACCTAACCGTTACACTCATGAAATCTAGCCAGTTTCGTAGCTCAAAATACACCGATTCTAGGGATATTAAGATTAGAGGGGGCAGACGAGCAGATGTGTCACCTGATGGAAAGTGACCATCGCCGCCCATGAACGTCTACAACTCAGGAGTCACAAACAATAGTATTATTATTTAGTTTTCATAATACTATTATTTGATTGACTCTGTAAGGAGTCAGCAAGCAAACTTGCTAATACGAGGGCGGGTCAATAAGTCCGTGACTTTTTGAATTTCTGACCTCTTTACTGAAAAAGCAACACTACTCCTGTCAACAGGCATCTGTCAGTTGACTCCTGTCAAAATTTGAACTTGCTGCGTCAGTTAGTTGGTGTTTGACAACTATCTTTATCAGACTACCCAGTAATTTGAGGAAAAAAAGGAAAAAATGGAAAAAAGTGAATTTCGTGTGCTTATTAAGCATTATTTTTTGCGAAAAAAAACCATTACCGAGACCAAGGCTAAGCTTGATAAATACTATGGGGACTCTGCACCATCGATTGTAATGGTAAAAAAGTGGTTTGCTGAATTTCGTTGTGGCCGTACAAGCACTGAAGATGCCGAACGTCCTGGACGCCCAGTTGAGGTCTCTTCACCCGAAACAATCGAAAAAATTCACGATATGGTGTTGGCCGACCGAAGATTGAAAGTGCAAGAGATTGTGGAAGCCGTAGGGATCTCGCATGGCTCAGTAGTTTCAATTTTGAATGATCACTTGGGCATAAGAAAGCTTTCCGCAAGATGGGTGCCGCGATTGCTCACAATCGACCACAAACGCAATCGTGTAACAACTTCACAGGAAGGTTTGGCGTTGTTTAATCGCAATATGGAGGAGTTTTTGCGCCGTTTTGTAACCGTGGACGAAACATGGATCCATCACAACACACCAGAGACCAAACAACAGTCAAAACAGTGGGTTTCTAAGGGTGAATCGGCGCCAAAGAAGGCCAAGGTGGGTTTGTCAGCCAATAAAGTTATGGCGACAGTCTTTTGGGATGCACGCGGGATAATCCACATTGACTACCTTCAAAAGGGAAGAACAATCAATGGGGAATATTATGCCAACTTATTGGACCGATTCAATGACGATTTGAAAAAAAAAACCGACCTCATTTGGCCAAGAAAAAAGTTCTTTTCCACCAAGACAATGCAAGGGTGCACACATATGCAGTTGCCATGGCAAAAATCCATGAATTGGGCTATGAATTGCTCCCTAATCCGCCCTATTCTCCAGATTTGGCTCCGAGTGACTACTTCTTGTTCCCAAATCTGAAGAAATGGCTTGGTGGAAAAAGATTTGACTCCAATGATGAAGTCATCTCGCAAACAAAGGCCTATTTTGAGGACCTCGACAAATCATATTTTTAGGAAGGGATAAAAAAATTGGAGAAGCGTTGGACAAAGTGTATAGAGCTCAAGGGAGACTACGTTGAAAAATAAAATGATTTATTTATCAAAAAATCTGTGTTTTATTCCAAAAGTCACGGACTTATTGACCCGCCCTCGTATAAAGATGATTAATGGCAGTTAAGTAACACGATCGAAACAATCAAAATCAGACAGCACAGATCACTCACTCAGAGACAGTCAGTGACATTATAATAGTAGTATTGCCAGTATTACAATTTGTACTCAACTTAATATCTATTATGGAAATATTAATCAAATAAAATCTAAAAAGTTTCGAGTATGTAACTGAGAACATAATTAATACTCGTATTACAAAAAGTTTTTTTTTGTATTGGGTTATAAAAAAGTTATATAACTTAAATCGCTTTTTTATTTTAACCATTGATGAGACCCACTTGCTGGGCTACTTCCTCCCCCTTCCGTTTCAATCTATCTCGATCTTTAGCGAGTTGCCACCAGTCCCTACGATGGGCATTGAGGTTCCTGATGACAATTTCCGTCCTGTGGGTGCCACGGCGTGACAGCTCTAGCCCACCACATTGGATTCATACGCCTAACGTGTTTGACTGAGTTCCACTTCAATGTGGATGTTATTTCTAGATACTCTTGTCATTGCACGCAAGTCCACATTTCTCACACGAACTAGCTGCCTGTCCTTAGCTTGATACCAGGGGTGCTTCATTCCTTAGCCCTCTGACAAAACCCCGAGTCTGTACTTTTGATGCGCAGTAAGGGACTCTTAGGTCAGGACAGGTAATATATACCTACGCATTGGTGAGTTTTTTAAAGGTATTGGTAAGTCACTCTGTGTGTTTTTAGGACCAGCAGTCGCGTGTTATCAATGCGACGATCGATTTATTTTTCTTGCCTGATATCAAAGGCTACTAGCTGGTCTAGGTAAATATCGACATAGTTCATTTCCGACTCACTTCAATGACTATTTATAGCACGTGTTAAAAAAGAAGTCATTCTTCATTTGGGAATATATAGAAAATAATCGATCATTCTTCATTTGGGAATATAGACCATAATCGATCGTTCTTCATTTGGGAATGTAGACAATAATCGATCATTCTTCATTTGGGAATACAGACAATAATCGATCATTCTTCATTTGGGAATATAGACAATAATCGATCATTCTTCATTTGGAAATATAGACAATAATCGATCATTCTTCATTTGGGAATACAGACAATAATCGCCCATTCTTCATTTGGGAATATAGACAATAATCGATCATTCTTCATTTGGGAATATAGAGAATAATCTATCATTCTTCCTTTGGGAAAGTAGACAATAATCAATCATTCTTCATTTGGAAATAAAGACAATAATCGACCATTCTTCATTTGGGAATATAGACAATAATCGATCATTCTAATCGATACCACCAATTTTTTTAAGACTGCCAATATTTTCTTTTGAATTGATGTCCTTTCCTTTCCTTGTTTGTAAACAGGAAATCAATACTGTAATATTTTAATAAATAAATAATTTCCCCGTCAAATCGACAAAATTATTATTTGGAGTACTTATTAAAAATAACGTTATTTGTTTTGAATATAGATCGATTCCTGTAGGTTAGGCCAAATTTCGAAAATCTCCTTTGTACATGTAATTGATAATAAAATACATGTAAATGTTAATAAAATAATAAGGTTGACTGTAAGAAATTGCTTTTTAGCAATAAGGCTGCCATTTGTACATGATCATTAATTTGATGTACTCTTGTATGGATGATGTATTAAACTAGACTAAAATAAGTGTTGTATATTTACCATCGTCATCAGGCCACGTAGGCGCCATAATAGTCTGTATGCTCTGCTGAAGCTGCTTGAGACACGGCTTCACACTCTTGACCTGACCCGCCATTAAATAGTGACATACCTGCAGACAAAACATTATCCTTGTAAAGAGGTGCTGCTGGTTGCCAGTTTTAGGAGGTTTAACATTAAAGGAGATATGTTAGTCAAAACACTGCGATGGCAGAACTTCTAACAAAACTAAGGTTATAAATACGGGAGTAAGTTTTTTAGACTTCAGATCTCAACTACTCAATCCAACTTGAAATATACTATACATAGTGTCAAAGGTACAGAAAAGGATACTTAAACAGCACATCGTTTTCAAAGGATCCCGTTCGGACATTTAGTTGAAATTAGCTCTAGATAACAAAATCTACATTAAAGGGCAAAAGCTTTTTTTTTTAATGAGTATCTATCGTTTCATCAACATCAACAGCCTATAATAGTCCACTGCTGGACATAGGCCTCTCCTTAGAAAAGAGGTCTATCATTTGATATGTACTAAGATCAAGTTTATTTATTTTTAGTCAATATGATCTTTCTTTTTGAATACCCCCTAAAAGGAACTAAATTAAACATACTAGTCACAGTAACATAAATATCATTCTGTTACAAATAAAAATATTAAATTGCACAAAAACAAACATAAAACCTAATTGTATTGTTTCCAATAAAGACTGCATAGATTAGATTTCATATGAATTAGCCCTTTTAGGACTGAATATCAGAAACTTCTTAGTTTGCTTCTTTAAAAAGAGATTACTCAATTACTTATATTATATTATTATTTATAGTTTAATATTATTTATATTATATTAGGTTTAGGGATACTTAAATTTGCATGGATAGTAATAAGTTTAAAGGTTTTACCTGTAGCACTAAAAAAAATACTTTGAGGTACTCTTTCTGATGTGGACTGCCAGTCCATGAGTCTACGAGGTGGCCAGCCTGATTTAACAATGGTAATACTTCTTGTATCTTCTTGTCTATTAATAGTAGCTGAAATAAAATACATTTATGAACAACTCATAACTTGTAATGACTGTAATAAACTGAAGAATTCCATAATCACTTTTGTCACATTTGCTAACAAAAGTAAGTTTAAAAATAACAAGACAGCAAATATATTTTTTTAAGTTAAAAAAAAAATTATTAGAAATAATTCAAGTTTTAATATTTTACATTAAATAAATCATCCTTTAAACAGCCTTTCACAGTCTTGGGTTTTGGCCTACTGTACCACGCAGGCCAGACGGATTGGTATAGGGTTTGTTTCAAGTTTTCCCTTTCTTTGTAGTGCTGTTGTCCTGCATAGTTTGCTCCCTTAGTCGGCTCTTACGACACCCATGAATAGGAGTAGACTCCGTATTCTTACTCCGTCATCACATGGTCGACCCGAATACGAATCCATAAACAAAATCTTTATTTTGTGGTTTCAACACTTTGTTAGAACTTCAATGGCAATATTTAAAATTGTAATATTCTCACCATTACTCTACTTAGTAAAAATAGTACTCTGGTGTAGGCAGCATTGGATATCTGTGCGTAATCTACGCCAACGCCTAGCAGACTGCTTGCCACTTCATATTCCCGTTCTGTTGCATGAATTTGCTGAAAAACACCAAAAAATATTGTACAAAAACAGATAAAATTAAAACATTTTGTATTACATTTGAGTTTACATTATATACAGGGTTACTGGCTAAGTCGACCTAAGTACCTTAAGGGATTATAGTTGCCATCATTTCTGATAGATTTCATTATGAAATACCATATCCCAAAGCATACCATTTTCAAGATATTGAACTACATATTTTTTAACATATCTGCAGTTTCTGCCACGGTTTTTTTTTAAGCTACCGAAACCTACAATTTAGGCTACAATAAACGGAATTAGGATAATACTGTTTGTTATTTCAATTAATTATTTTTCCTTTTTTTCAAAAAAGCAGCAGCTTACAGAGCAGGAAATATAGAGTTTTAGTACATATTTAATATCTTTTAACAATATTCATAACAGTTAAGTTACTATCCCTTTAAAAAATACTATTTTGTTTATACTTTTATATATATTAAGTATCCAGTTACAGATTAAAAACAGTTAGTAATTGTATTATAATATCTATATGTTTAAATTGGTGGGAAATGTTTAATTTTACTTTGACTTGTCTCAGCAACATTTTTAAGTCTCTTCCATTAGATGTAAGACAGATAGATGACAAAGTACTTAAATAATTGTGCTTATTTATTTTTTGTTTTAAATTTGGCATGAACTTTCAGATAGAATAGAAACAAGAATATAAGTCTTGTAAGTGTTTATGTACACTTCAAAACCTCAAAGATTTCTGCACCAATTCAGCTCAAATTTTGACACAATATACAACATGTTTCAAGGTTTGTTGTTATCTATTTTTTGCTTGAGTTTTGCTAATTTCTCATCCACCACAATGTGCCACAGTGAAGAATGGCAGGGTACAGTTAGTTCTCCTTATAATATGTATGTATTGACAAAAAAAAGTATGAATGTATTTATAACAGTTGTCTAGTAGCCATAGTACAAGCTCTGCTTAGTTTGGGACTATATGGCAGTGTGCGTATATGGTAGAATATATTATATTATATTTTTTTTATAATCTATTGCAGACCATAGTCTGTAAATCCCAGAGGGAGGCTACAGACTATGGTTTTCAGTTCTTTCAGGATAGTTGAGGAATACATTATAATTGCTACCAAAGATCTATGTATTCATCACTGATTCACAATCAGAATTATTTCCTATAATAAATAAGTTGCTGGTATAAAACTAGCGCATTGGGCTATACCTGTAATGATAGTTGTTTTAATGAAAAGCCATACTAATATTATAAATGTGAAAGTGTGACTTTCTGTCTGGTACCTCTTCACGCTTAAACCGTTAAACCGATTTATATGAATTTTGGCATAGAGTTATTTTGAGTCCGGGGAAAGGACATAGGATAGTTCTTATCACAGAAATCATCCTTTAAGGGGGTGACTAGGGAGGTGGAAATTACTATGGAAAAACAATAACCACTGAATAGATTTATATGAAATTAGGTATAAAGATAGTTTGATTTTTAAGAAATGACCTAGGCTACTTTTTACAAGCGGGTGGAGCCGCAGGGAAAAGCTAGTAAATAAATAAATGTATGTACAAATTTCACAAGACCTAAGTCATATTAACTAAAAATTAAAGTTAAGAAAACCTCCAGAACAAGCATAATGTATAAAAAAACTTGATAAAAACAGAATCACTAGGGAGTACATCAGAAAATCAGATGTTGCATTCAGAAGATCTTAAATTTAGCTGTAGATAATTGGACCATAGTGCACATAGTATATATTTAAAGTGGCAATCAAGTTTGGCATGCAGTATATATTTTAATGACCAAATTATTATTGCACTTATTGTAAAAATCATATGAGTTGTAACACAAGGTATTGAATTACTAATACAAAACAGTATATCTCTGTAACTCTCTTGGATGGCGTATAGTAACAGCAATAGATTAATTTGACTGAACTTTAACAGTTTATTCAGTCAAGATTTTGTTCATGAAGCATACAAATATCAAGGTCTCCCAACACTCTCACTATACTACTTTAATATTCGACTAAAATTGGAAGAGGTGAATGAGCAGATGTAAATAAGCCATTGTGATTTATTAAATATGAATTATTTTTTAAAATAAATTTTTGATTGGCCTTTTGGTCTAGTAGTTAGTGACCCTGACTGCTAAGCCAGAGGTTATGGGTTTGATTCTCATGCAGGACAAATAATTGTGTGATGAGCATGATAGTTTATTCTGTGTCTGGGTATTAAGTAATTCAACTATTTTAACATGAATTTAGAAATATATAAGTATGCTTATTTACCAGAGTACAGGCTCCGTCTTTTATTTTTTTAGGCTCAGAAGGCTGTGTTTGAGTTGTGTAAAGTTGTCACTATTTAAAGGAACTGGCAATTAAATACAATTTAAAATTTCATTTTATATTAGAATATATTTAAATCAATGTTTGCTCAATTTTCATGCTATGCCATACAATTTATGAGATCATTATAAAATTTGCAACACACATTGCCAGGTATACAAAAATGAGTCAATTGTTTTTCAATAGTTAAAATAGTTGAATAGATAAAAAGCTTAAATTTAAAATTTGTTAAATGATTTGAGATTCTATAAATTAAGCTAAAACTAAAAAGGGAGTTCAGATTGTATTTCAGATCAATAAAACACTAGTAGATAAAACAAACATGACGGGCCTGTTGGCAGTTAGTGACCCTGACTACTAAGCCAGAGGTTGTGGGTTCGATTGCCACCCAGGACAAATATTGTGTGATGAGCACGGTCATCTGTTCTATCTCGGGGTGTAATTTATCTATAATATGTATGTATTTAGAAATATGGAACTATGTGATTAGCAGTCTGGTGAGATCTATTATTATATTATGTTATACTTAAAAATAGAACCCATATATATAATTACTTTTTAATACTTTTTAGGTAAAAATAGTTAAGACTGAAGATGAAAAAGGTCTCATAGAATAACCAATTGATATAAAATATTTTTTCATGCATTTGTAAGCAATTATAATTATGTCAAATGCATGAACAATTATTTTACATTATAGGAGAATGTGTGTTAACATAATATTTAAGCACAATTATTTTATTAGTCAGTCATAATCAGTTTGTTGTTTTTCAGTTTCAATTCTAAATAACATTTTATTGTTTCCTACAAATACATGGATTTCAAAACTACTACTAAACATATCAAGGTAATGTCAATTTGTTTATGTTTATGTCACTGATAGTCAAATAATAATTGTACCTTAGTCACCAAACTTAAAAGTAAATGTAATATTTGTTTACTGTAATACTTACTGCCAATTGGAATATAAGTCTGCAGTGCCAATATACACTGTGTTGTGACAATTCAATAGCTTTTCGAAGTATGGGCTTTGAGTGTGTAGGCTGGCCCTGCTGCTCGAAGAGCTCAGCGAGGACACTTGCCGCTTCGAACTTAACATCGTCAAATCCATTGATAGTCTGAGACAGGCACCACTGCAACCACAACACTGTTTAATCACCATATGACCCACTTGAACTTTGTTTACATACTTTGAGAAAGTGGTATCTCATTTAGCCACAAATAAAACAACATTATTAGAATTATATGACATCATTACATCTACCGTTACTTCAGAACTCTGTATACACCCAAAAGTTCGTGAATAACAACAAAAAAACTTACACTCTGCTCTAAATGCGTTCTCGCCAAGTCGATGTTTTTGGTGTGTGTCAAAAGAATATTTCCAAGTTGTAAATGTGTCCTGGCCTCTACTCTTTGTGGTGGTTTGAAATTAAATACAGCTTGTAGGCACTGGATACAACTTTTTATGTCAGGAGGATTCGATGTACGAAAGTGTTCTGCTAAACCAAGTAAAGAAATATACCAAGCGTCCTGCGTTGACGCCATTTTGACATTTCTGCTTGGAGGGAACGATGTTGCCAAGATTACGTTGCCGATGGATTGAAAAAAAAGTTAACTTACAGATACACAATAGGAGGATTTTGATTATTTTTGATTACAAGTGAAGAATACGAAGTAAATTTTTCATATAATTCATTTAGTGTTTTTTTTTTCAATATAACATTGTATATTTTAAAACCCACAGTCATTTTGTCTAACAAAACACAAAAATAATTTTTGAAGTCGTAGGATAAAATATATATAACACTAGCTGACTCCCGAAGCTCCGCCTGCAAATACGGATGACATCAATATAATTTACAGCCTATAGTACTCAAATATTTGCCGCCCCTACTAAACTTTGCAATTCAATATTCTTTTTTATAAGTATTGAAGCCCCTCGGGCCGTCACACCGGGATTTGCGGCGGGCAATGTGTAGGAATAGAGTCGACTAAAACCATACGGTGTAGGTACTACTTGGTGCCTGAAATAGGAGGGATCCGCGAAAAGATGTTATTAAAACATCCGGACCGTTAATTCAAATACCCTTTTTTTCTTTTACGTGTGGAAACCCCTCTTGCAGTCATCCCACGAAGATTTGCAAAGGATCGGTGTTTAGGAATTGAACCGACTACGGTACGGTATGCTAATCTGTGCCTGAAATATGAGAAATCCGGGAACAGCTGTTATTAAGACAACCGGACCGTCAATTCAATACCCTTTTGTTCTTTAACGTGTGGAAACCTGGGATTTGCGACGGGGCGGTGTTTAGAATTGAACCGACTATTCCATTCAATACCCTAGTTCAGGGTTCTCCAAACGGAATGGAGATGCTGGAGGGTCTCGATCGTGAGTCGGCAACCCTTATCGCGCGGGTCGGATATAGCTCCGCGCGTCGGTCCTTTCGGAGACTCTCTAGCCCAGCACCCTGCAGGAAGTGGTTGAGGGTATTTTCCTACAACGGACAGAATACACTTCATCACTTTCAAATGTGGGAGTGAGCAGCATCAATCCCAAGCAAATTTGTCATCTAAATAATCTAGAACCATCATCAACAGCCTTTAATAGTCCACTGCTGGACATAAGCCTCTCCTTAGAGGAGGTTTTGGCCTACTATACCACGCTGGCCAGACGGTTGATATAGGGTTTGTGTCAAGTTTTCCTTCTCTCTGCAGTGCTGTTGTCCTACGTAGTTTTTTCCCTTAGTCGGCTCTTACGACACCCACGGGATGAATAGGGGTGGTGACACTCTGTATTCTTAATCTCACTCACTCAGTAATCTAGAACCATGTAGTAAGCATTTTCACATAGTTTTTATTTAACTAAGGGCTTAAATTTGTTTAATACTGAATTCATGAAATTTGCTTGTCATTTTATTGTAAAATCGCACACCCTGACATCGAAAAGACTTGCTTACTTTTTGTAGTCTAGTCGTTGGCAACACGAGTTTATCTTTATTTCTAGAGTTTATATTATGAATGTCGCTAAACTTTGTGAATAAATTTACACGAAATTTTCATATATATTGAGATGCGACTGTCGTTAATTAATAGCAATTTCTTTAAACTTATCCCTTATTGACTGCCTATAACTGAGATTATAAGACCACGCCACAATCCACTTACGCCATCCCTTCTTAAGAATGTAATCGTTCTTCGTACATAGAATGAAGCGAAAAATATTTGGCAATGCCGAACTTTCAAGAATAAATTTGAGTTTTCTTCAGTTTCTTTCCGTGGAACCACCAGTACGGCTTAGCGATGGGACCTCGGGTAAAAAAGGGTAACAGTAAGATTGTAGAGGCCTGAGGAGATGGTGTTGAAAGATGAACTGAGAGAACTGTTGGTGTACAGAAACCTCAAGCAACTTTGATAGTAAAGGAAGGATGGAGATTTGATGGTAAGTGCCCAGGAAAAGAAGTATTTTTATTTTAGGCAATGGGAAAATGTAGGCTTTGTGCCAGACAGAGGGGCAGGATCCGGCGTCGAGAGAGAAGTCTATAATGTAGGCTATAACCTTGAGGACGGAATCCGGGATGCTAACTATCATCCTATGGCTTAAGTCCATCACAACCCATTGTAATAAAACGGACAGACAGGATGATTTTTTTGATGTCCCCAGAAGGTATCGGCAAAAATCTTTGCAGACTGGCGACAAGGTTCAGGGTCCGACTCTTGGTTTGATGATCCAGTTGAGTAGCAGATCAGAAATGAAGATTGATATCATTCGACCCCCCCCCCCCCTGACTATCGCACTACCGAATTACACTACCAGTAGTGTCATGGGTAATTAAGGAACGGTCACACATCCTTCTGACCCATCGCACTACCCAATTAAAGTACCGGCAGTGTCATGAGGAATATTTTTAACTGCTGCACTACTAAAAAGTAGTGTAATTGTTAGTAAATAATAGAAAATACTGAAGTAGTGAAGATGTATGACAATTTTTAAACGACTTCAAAAACAAAAAAGGAGGTAATCAATTCGACTGTATTTTTGTTTGTTACGCTATATCTCCATCGAAAGGGTATACTCACGAGGTGGTCCCATTACCACCAAATTACAATCTAATGATGGGATCCCAAAGAAATCGGGGGAAACCCTCAAATTTTCCAGCCCCGACTGCGTCTTTTAGCTTGTTTATCTAGCTATATAGGTATTTGCGTTCAGTAGTCGTTATGTCATGTTTCTGAGCTTGTGGTCGCAGGATCCTTGACCTTTAGAAGTTATAGGATAATTCTTTCAAAAGTTTAATCATGTATTGACCTTGTTTGAGTCTTTCAAGATATTTGTTTGTGTTAGGTTACAGAGATATGTGCACAAGAGAATAATAAATGAGACTACAAAATATTTCGACAAAAAAAAAAGTTTAAATCATTTTCATGCTTTTACCTCAAAACTTTTATTTGTAAACAGTTAGATTTTTTATTTTACTTGGTAGGGTATATTTTCCCTTTGGTTCCATTCAAATGTAAAGAACAAAATGCCACTCCTAGTGGTGGAAAACTACGTACCTATCTAATGTAAAAAACAATAATTTTTGGGTTCAAATGTAACATCTTTACTACCTTATCTGAAGAAAATGACGGACTTATCAATTTTTCTTTAATATAATCTAATGTTATATGTCATATTATTATAAAACATTATAATCTAATGTATAAAGTATAAGTATAAGTAAAATATAAGTTTTAAAAATCGTAATTATCTACTCATAACAAACTTATCCCTTAGAAAAAGTAAAACCGACTTCAAACAATACTGACAAAGAAAACTAAAAAATATTTACAAATATGTATAAGTAAAATAAATATTAATAGCAATAGTCCCTTCTAGTCTGTTTGAAGTCAGTGCCAAGCCCGATGCACAATAAGTAATACTAGTCTATGTCAGCTTTATATTAACACAATAAAAAATTAAGTATCTATACAAATAAATAAAATTAGAGTGTCTGTTTGTAATATTAAAATAACCGCTTTTAACTAAATACATATGTATGTTTACACGGTACATATGCCAAAATAACATTTTTTGTCTGTCCGTCCGTCTGTTTGTTCCGGGTAATCTCTGGAACGGCTAAACCGATTTCGACGGGACTTTCACTGGCAGATAGCTGATGACATAAGGAGTAACTTAGGCTACTTTTTTTAGACTAGCTTCGCCCCGCGGCGTTGCCCGCGGTTATAACAACATACGCGGGTAACACCGCGGGTCTCAGCTAGTTCAATATAATTCCAATGAAACATCGCAGATTTTGTTAATGAATAAAGACCAACCAGATCAATTAGTGTGCGTTACCCCAGCAAAATAATGTCGAAAATGGTCATTTAAACTTTATAGATAATTAGTTGCTCTCCTTCTGTAATTGTTAGGCACATTTTTAAATTTGTTTCACTTAAACTTTTTTAGTTATTTCAAAAAAAACATTTCCTGCTGGAGTAACGTTTGAAACGTTACCGCAGCCAGACATTTTCTTTTTTAATTGTAATATTGAAATAAATTTTAGCTAGATAATTAGTTATCTAGACTAGGTAAATGTTACAACTTATTTGGTATTTGTATTTTCTTCGGCTGCGAAGTTATTCAAAATCCTGCTGGAGTAACGTTTGTGGGTTTGCTGGATCTCTGAAACGGGTAAGCGGATTGTAACCATCTTTTGTACATAACTTCTTAAGGGTTAGTTTTAATTTGTTCGACAATAAAATAACAAAAATAATGGACCGTTTAAAAATTATTTAGGTAAGTATGAAAACACTTCAATACGTCCTAACACTTTAAATAAGACCTCTAAAGACTTACTTCAAACGTTATTCTATTGCTTGGAACTACCTTCAAATGTATAAGAATTTTCGTAAGAATACTGTAAGTGACTAAAAAGTTATGATGAAATGTAGCTCTCCACGTTCACGATCACAATGTGTGCGGCCTTTTTTGGCCACCGATAAACCTGTGTGTGGATATATAAACTGAATGTTATGCCAATAATTAGTTGTTTAGTTCAGTTGTCTGCCTGTAGAATTTCAGCGTCGTACATATAATAATTTACGAGATAATTAAATAAAAGTCATTAGAAGGTGCAAGTCCGTGGTAATCCGACCATGTTTAGGTGGTTACAAAAAAGCGATCACCCAGTACATTGGGCTGTCTTTTAAAATGTTTAGTGTAATACACCTTACGATTTCGGTACAGTTGCGTACAGTGTTAAATACATTCAATATTCATTCATTATTATTACCTATTATTTATTTTGTTTTTTCCCTAATTGATCTTAAGCACTAGTTTCTTTACTTAAAATTTCTTTAGTCTTTTTTACTACCGGAGCTACAATCAACAGAAAATCTGCACTCATCATCATCATCAACAGCCTATACTAGTCCACTGTGTTAGGTAGTACAACACTACTATCGTCTCTCGATACTTGTCAGTGGTACGTCACTACACTTAGACTTAGCTATGGCGGACATGCGTATTGCATTGTAATATAACTTATGAAAATAAAGACATA